AGGTCAGAACTTGCAGTGAATCTAGGAAGCCACACACATCTAACTGCTGGGCCAGTACCCAAAGGGAAGCAGTATAAATATCTGTGGGTAGCTGTCACCTCTAAGAAAGACTTCCAGAAAAGTTAAGTTGTCTTTGACTAAACTCTGGAGCAGGCCTAAGTCGGCAGGGCCAGTAGTTGGGAAGAAAAGCAAGATGGGTAGGGAATCAAGGACTTTGAATACCACTGGAACCCCTAAAACCTATTCAAGGAAATCCTTTATTGTCCATGAGAACCTGAGAAAAGCTACTAAAAGTGATGTGATTGTGATTCTATGTTTGATTTTAGGTGAAGATATCAGTGATCAGATCAGGTAGCCATCTAAGAAAGAACCAAGACCCATGTATCTATAGCTTTTTTATATGCTTGGGACAAGCAAAATTTCTATGACCTTACTATGTTCTTTGATAAATTTTTATATTCTATGTTTTCCATACAATGACTAGAATGGGAGGCAAAATTCTCTATATGTTTTATGTAATCTATATGTCTGCCATCCTTTATAACAATGTTAATCAGAGTAAGCAAAGCTAGATTGCTACTAGAAAAGTAAATTCCCCACATACAAGTACTTTAATATAGTAGGCTTTCTTTTCCTTACTTCACAACCCAGTTGAAGTTGGTGGGCAGTGGGAAGAGCTTTATTCCATGAAACCACTCCAGAATAAAGACTTCTCCCATATTGTCACATTAGCAGGTTAAACAGTGGCCAGTATGGTTCAGGAAGGTTCCAAGGTTGTCAAGGAATGATAAGTGAAAAAGAATGAAGTCCCCATGTTCTAGATCCAGAAGTGAAAAATCTACTTCTGCTCAAATTCTCCAGATCATGTGGCCTCACCTAGATAAAAAGTGAATGAGGAAAGTTCAGCTTAGTGCCCAGAAAGGGAACTTGATTTTTGGCATGCAATTGTGACACTGTTGGAATGTTACTTTCTCTTCAAAGCAAGTATCTGAAGTAGCACCTGTTATACTACAAGCTCTCAAAATTGTTTGCTGAACAAGTGAATAAATAAATGAATGGTTGTGTATAGGATTCTACTGTTAATGATTTTTTAAAGATGCAAAATGGAAAGGAAATAACTTGGTTGAAGCATACATCTGTCTGCCACTCCCATTGGAGCCATATGCACATTTATATTTTAAAATTATTCCATAGGCACTCTAGGAATTCATGTTCTATTGAAGACTATTTTTATTAATTCAATAACTATTTGAATGCACACACACATGCACCACGTAGCACAGTACCTGACACACAGAAGGCTCTCAGAAACCTTTCGGTCCAGATTCACACCTTGGTTCTACAGACGGGCACTACTCGGTGCTTGATCCTTTTCTTTTTTAACTGTAAAATGAGGGTGATAACATTTATTTCAAAATTGCCAGGTTTAAGTGAGATGAGTGGTGAAATCTTTGCATACACAGAAGTACAGAACCTTGCTAACAATGGTGGTAAATTCACAGAGGTGAATGTACTAGGACTTCCAAGTAGTGCTCATCCAAGCATGTTGAGATATTTATGCCCCAAAATGGTGACAGTCCTTAATTTCTCAAAAAGAGAGTTTTGTGGTCAAATATGGGAAATGGAGGATTAGGCAAAGTAAAACATGACTCGCGGGCCTGAAAGATGCTGATGTGCATCGATAAACTTAAGGAAAGCATTAAGCATTCTGTGTCTTTTTCCCTGAATTAATGTGATTTTGAAACTCAGCCCTACTCGTACCCCAGCATCTCTGGAGCATTGAGATGATCACTACTCACCTACTAATCTTCTCACAGTCATTCATCATCCGATAACCTAGAAATTCATCCTATAATTGTCCGAGTATAGAGTTGAGATGTCTGCCATAGAGATATAAAAGAACAGAGCCAGCCAACCTGTTGCCAGAGTTAGAGAAGATCCAACGTAGATAGGAGATGCGAGGTGTTGTGGACACTCTTAAGATTCCTGCCCATTGGTGGCAAGGCAGTAGCAGACATATCGCAACAAAGGTGAAGAGAAACGGGCTGAATCTCAAGGACTGTTAGACCACAAGACAACTTCTCTGCTTCTAAGAAAAAAATTATGGGGCTGTCTCTTACAACAAAGGCTTTTTACTCCCTAGTTCAGACAAGTTCATCAAGACAGTCAGTCACCTTCCTCTGTACCCTTTCTACCCTAGGACCCAACTCAAAAGCAGCGAGGAGCGGAGGACCAGGAAGACCTGCGAAGGGGCGTGGCGGGCCTTGTGGGGGCGTGGCGGACTTGTAAAGGGGCGGGGCGTTCGGGGCGGGGCGTTCGGGGCGAGGCCGACTAGCGAGGGGGCGGGGCGTTCGGGGCGGGGCGGACCTTCTGAGGGCGGGAAAACCTGAGGGCGGCGGGAGGAGGGTACCTGAGGGGAGCGGGGCGTTCCCGAGGGGCGGGTGCCCCAGGCGGGGCTCACTAGGTGCTGGCTGAGCCGAGGTAGTCCTCTGCGGGAGAAGGTCCAGCGCCCAAAGCCTGGGGCAGGTAAGCGGTCCGCCGGCCACTTCAGCGCCGCTCTGGAGGCGGCGGCGCTCTGCGGTGAGAGGAGCCGGCGCGGCGCAGGTGCCCGGACTGCGCCACCTCGGCCTCCCGGACTCGCTCGCGGGCGCGAGGGAGAGAGCCGGGCGGGTGAGAGCGGCGTGCGGGGCCACGCTTCCGGGGGGCTCTCTCGGGCTCTTCTTTCTAGTACGTGTCGCGGTGGGGCCCGGTTCGGGGTCTCCTCGCGGAGGCCGGGGGGAGGTCTGGGGGCCGAGCCTCGTTCGCCGAGCGGGAGCGGGCGGTGCGGTTGGAGGTCGGAGGTCGGCTCGGGGATCGGCCGGGTGAGCCTGCGGCCCGACAGGGGACCCCGCCGCGAGAAGGGGGATCCCGGCCTGAGGGGACGCCGCGCGCCCCCCGTGTCGCTCCGGCTTAGCCGAGGGATTCAGCCGCGAAGTTTCAGAAACTTAGGCAAGCTAGGAGGTATAAAATATCACTTTGTTTGGTTTTTGTAAACTGCAGTTTCCCCAGTTTTTTTCTTTCACACAAAAAAAGTCACCTTTATTTATTTTTAAAATTAGTACAAATACATATTTGCAGCACAAGATGATTACAATATCATGGACCAATTGGGTTTTAGATATTTGATTTCTACCCTTTGCATTTTCTTCTTTTCTCTGGTACGGATTCTTAAAGTATAGAAAAAGTATATTACACTCTGTAACATCTGGATATAGTACACATAAGATGTCAAGCTATTGCCTCTTCTAGAATATTTAGAAGCCTTAGATTATTTTTGTAATTAAAATATTCAGATTCTCACTGCAGGCAGTCAACTAATAGAGTTGTGTTTTCTCAATAATGTAAAAAAGCCTTGAAAATATTGACAATTAACAAAATGCTATTTGCCGGTTTAATATTTTGATGTGTAAGTTCTTGGTTCTTTTTCTAGAAGGAAATGTTAACGTCACTTGCCTTTGAGAGCTGAGATTGGAGAGGATTGGTGAGGATTTGCTTTTTATCATTGGATTTTTGTAGTTTTTACTAATGACAATAATTTACCTTCATAACGGGGAAGAAGGCTGTAATACAATTTTATTTTTTAACCTTCCAAGAAAAATGTTTTTAAAAGTCTTACATTTTACCTGCTTCACTTAAATTGTAATTGTGTACTTATGAACAAAACTAATAAATTGAGAGATTAATTCAGTTGGGAGAAAATTAGTTTGAGACATCTGGCAAAGCTATCTAGTTCACAGATTATTGGTATCTGTTTTTTTTCTGAAGTCCTGCTCAGACTTACAGATGTTGGAAAAAGCAGTGGATTTGTGACATTTGATAGTGCATGGGAGTAATAAAGTCACTAAAATAAATATAGACTAAGAAAAGGGGAAGACCAAAGAAGGGAAACTCTAATGTTTAAGTGATGGGTAGAGACTGTTGAGGAGACTGTTGAAGAACATTCAGGAAAGAGGGAGGCTTGGAGAGAGGGAGGGCCTAGAAGTCAGGAGAGGATGGAAAAGTCTGTCTGGGAGTCACAGGAGTCCAAAGGGTTGGGAAGTTAGGAACTGATCAAGAGTCTGTTGGCTTTGGTAATTAGGGGGCAGGCAGTTGACCTCAGCATACATAACTGAAGTGGCATGGTAAAGGTAGAAGCCAATGACTGTAAGGTGTTAATAGAGGATAAAGAAGTAAAGAGCGGAAAATCCATATTTGAGAAGCAAAGGTTAGAAGGAGAGACTACAGCATAGTTATTAGAGGAACGTTTAGTCAGATTGGAAAGAATATAGAACTGCCATATGTTAAAATGTATCATTTCACAACATTATTCCTCTCTTATAATTAACTAGTAGTCACCAAGAAACAAGTAGCTGAGCATTTATATAGCACTATATTCACAATAAAGTATTGCATCTTCCCCCATCCAAATTATGAATATTGGGTTCATGTATGAATATTTGTTATATTGGGTTCATATGCTCTGATCAGTGTTTAAATCATAAGTATAAACTGTGTTGGACTGTATTTTACCCTACTTCCAGTTTTCTGATACTTCCAACTTGCTTTTAAATAATTTGATGCATGTAATTCAATGATTCTTTTAAAACTGTTCTGTAGAAATCAGATATTTTGACCAAAGCAAAATTGAGGCTTCCATCAGTTTAGGTCTTTGTATGTCTTCTGTTGACAATTATTTCATATGTGGAAAAACAGTACTTTCAGCATGTCTATAGATTAAAGAATACAAATAAATGCCCTGTATTTTGCATCATGCTTAAGAAATAATATACTGTATATCAATATTTTTGAGGTTGCCTTGTGCATTCTCCCTGTCTGAATCTTTGTTTCCACTCTCCTTGACTTTCTATAGTTTCACCATATGTATACCTTCCTAAACAACGTTTTGTTTAGTTTTGTGTATTTTGGAATGCTTTATAAACAAAAGTATGCCATATGATTTCTGTGACTTTTTTGCACATTAAATTTGTTATAGTCTCCCACATTGATGTGGAACATTTTATTCATATATATCATGCTGTCATGTGACTTTTACCACAGTTTATCTACATCTTATGAATGGATATTTAAGGTATTTTCAAGCTTTTTTCTTTTTAAAAAAATTTTTACTTTTAGCATTAAAAGCCATCTTGTTAAGACCACGCCACTCCATCTTTCTTTGTATCTACGTGAAAGAATTTCTTAGCCTCCTTAAATATAAGAGCAGAATTATGGGTCTTCAGTTTTGCTAGGTAACACTGAACTGCCTTATAAAGTTAGTTGTACCAGTTTACATCTTTATAAGCAGTAAATGTTCATTCTGTCCTTCTCTTGTCAATATGTAAGACATTTGTACATCTGGTTACCTAACTTTTGATTTTTGATAAATGGAATGGTAGCCTGATGAAGATTTAATATGGACTGCTTTAGGTACTGTTGATGTTCTTGTTCAGAAGGATGCCTGTTTATATCTTTTTCCTATTTTTTCTTTATTGTTTGTCTTTAAAAATTGATTTCAGGAAGTTCCTTATATACTCTAGAATCGAATCCTTTAGTAGTTATGCACATAGCAAATATTTTCTCAATAGTCAGCTTGTCTTTTTTACTTTCTTTGAATTTTAATGAACACACTCTGTCCTATAAATGTAGCCAACTATGTCAACTTTTTTATGACTTCTTTTTTCTTTTTTAATATTTATTTTTACTAGTACATGTTCGCAGTACATAATGATTACATCTATTAGGCATGACTTGTACTTTTGGCATCTTGTTTAAAAAATTCTTCCTTTCCATGAGACCATAGAAGTATAGATTCATATTTTCTGCTAAAAGCTTTAAAATGGGGGAGGGGGAATAAATGCTTTAAAATGTTGCCTTTTTCCCTAGGGATATGTAGGAAATCCCTGTAGCTTTTCAACTTTGCTGTGTGCCTAAAAATGCTCTAAAAAGAGTCTATTAAAATGATATCTTTCATATTTATGTCCTTAATCATTTCAAATTAAAGATCAGCTTAGGCTACATAGTGAGTTCAAGGCCAGCCTAAACTACATAGCAAGACCCTGTCTCAAGAATTAGTTTTTGTGTGTTGTGAAGTAGGAATTTGGATTACTCCACCTCATACTTCTTCTTAGGGTACTTAAAAAATGTGATTTCCAGACTGCTGTGTCTTTGTCCCATTGTTGTTTTTATTCATTCCTGTCATCTATCTGTACTCTTTTTGTTTATATTTTGTTGTAATATTTGAAATAAGAAAGTATAGTTCTGTCCATCTTGGCCGTTATTAAGTGTGTTTTAGCTGTTACTATTACATCCATAGATAAATTCAGAAAGAACTGATGCCTTTTTAAACATAGAATTTCCAGTGAGATGGTAATTTTTCCTCTATTTGCTTATATAAATTACTCTTCATAAAGTGTTATAAAATCTCAAAGAAAAGGAATTCAGTTTCTATTCTTTTCTTCATGTAATTAATTCTTCCCAGCATCATCTGTTGAATATTCTGTTTTTAACTCCTATCTTTATCTATATGTATCATATGTCAAGTTTCCATATAACTGTGGATGTGTTTCAGAGCTGTTCTTTCTCTAATCGATGTTTTCTTTTTTGGTATATTTATCCTATACACTTATTTGCTTTAGTTGTATAATGAACCTTATACCCACTCATGCATCTTTTAAAACTAGATTTATCAACCAAAGGTGGTAGTGTATGCCTATCATCCCAGCACTCAAGAGGTTGAGGCAGGAGGATCATTTTGAATTTGAGGCCAGCTTGCGCTATGTAGTAAGCTCAAGGCTAGCCTGAAGTACATAGAGAGACCCTGTCTCAAGAAAAAGAAACAAAAACAAATAAAAATACTAGACTTCTCAGGTTAATTTTTTTATTTTCTTTTTTGTTTTCCTTTTAAATTTTTATTAGTACATGTTTTTAGGATTTACTAATTGCATGCATTGTGGGGAATTGGTATATGTACATAACACATCTCAATTTG